TCCTAAATCGCCTTTGTGGCGAAAATGGGATTTGGTAACCCTCAACTCCAGGCATCGAGATTTATGTATAAAAATCGTAAAGTCGTCATTAAAACAAGAGATTTGTAAAATAATAGCCTGCTGACAACCACCAAACCATAATATTGGTAGATAAATGAGCCACTGGAAATCGTGAATGCGAATTGCTCGTGAAAATGTTTGATCAATATATTTCAATACAAAAAATTTAATTTGTGCGGAACGAAATTCGCCGGGTTTTGCAAGTAAAAACATAAAGCAACATCGCTAACAACCATTTCCGCTGATTTTCATTTCAAATTCTTTATTGTACTTCAATTTATTACTTTCAATCATCATGCTTTTCACATTATATTTGTATGTATGTATATCATCAATATAATATATTTATTTATTTACCATAATAATAATTTATTCAATAATAATTTTTAATAATATTGTTTTATTTTTATTTGTTAATTTCCTTTTTTTGGGGTATTTTTTTTTTGCTTTATTTTTGCCTTAATTCAATCAATCAATCAACATTCATTTTAACTAATTACTATCGCTAATCAATTATATATTTTTACCATTAATTTAAATTTTTATTTGTTTTATTTTTTATTTTTTTCTATGCGTCTGTGTGCCTGCACTCATGCACAATTTTACGCCATTATTGTTGCTTCTTTGAATGAAGTTTGTATGCGTGCGTGTATATGTATATGGTTTGACTGTACTTATGTATGTAATGTGTGTATGCATGTAGGTATGTATGAGCTAGTTCAATTACGAGTCTATTTAATCTACATCTATATAAATGTATCTATGTACTATGTATGTATGTATAAGTATATGCATGCATTTTTATGTAAATGGATGTACGAGTACAGCAAGTTTATCTGTGTCACTCAAAGTATTTATTATTTTGCTCGTAAGTATCTTAGTTGTTTGTTTAATAGTTTTTTTTTCGGCTTGTGCTATGTTTACGTACATTTACACCTTTTGCGGGTACGTTCTCAAACACAGTTGCATACATAGTTTGCTGCTGTTTTTCGTGTTTGAACAGTTTTAATTTTGATTTTGTTTAGGTTAAACATTAAATATGTATATGTATATTTTTTTTTAGTGTAATCTCTGCAAATGACTTAGGAAATAGACAAAGTTAATTTTAGTTTTATTTTTTAGTATTTAATTTATTTTGATTTTTTTTTTTTTAATTACTTTAAATCTGACTTTACAAAGAAAATGTTTGCCTTTTACGAGTGGTAGTGCCAAGAATTGTTATGTAAGTATGTAAATATAAACGAATACATATAAATTTATTTTTGAGACTTGTTGCAGAAAAATCCAAAAATAATTTTTAATTTCTCACTTTAGTGTAGTTAATCTGGCATAATTCAATTGGGCGCTTTACAAAAAATCTAACAGCCTTAGGAAAAAATACTAAACGATTCAGAAAAAAGTGGTGAATAACATATCAAAAAATAAACACATAGCATGATCGGGGTATTAAGTATTGGAGTTAATTAAAAAATAAAAAAAAATCAGAAAGACAAAAATAGCACATTTTAGAGGAAGAAATTCTCTACATAAAACTGCATTGCTAAGTACTAAGCTGCGATTTATCACTTTTGCGTAATCAATTGGTAAGTTCAATTTTTTTTATTTTTTTTATGATATACGTACATATCTCTAAACATACGGGCTCATTTTAGGGTCAAAAAATTTTCACAATTCTGAGCTGTAGCTCTCTTTGTGAGCTCAAAAAAGAGTCATAAAAGAGCGTATCTCCCTTCTTAGAAAGGCACACCAATACGAATCCAAGTTAGGAGTCATATTAGAGTCTGAAAACTTTTACCACTACGCGAACTTTGCTACTTTTGTTCAACTCAAAATTTATGTCACCAAAAGAGTCCGAAATGAGTCAATCTAGTTGACTGGTCCCAAAATCATATTTACAACAAAAGAAACACTCATTCTAGACGCATAAATTCTGAGCACGAGCGATGAGCGGTAAATAATGTTGCTCACACGCCACGTCCGAGTAAATAATCACGCGTTTGATGAAACCTAATTTAAAAAAAATATTTAATACAATTGAGAACGCGAAAGCGATAAGTGCCAGCGTAGTACTTCCCATTGCAGTTATGTAGATAATATTTTTCGTCTTCGATTTACTACTTTTTCATTCATGAATTTGAGTGGTACGAAATTGTTTAGTTTTTCATTAACTTAAATAATACCCCGTTCACACTCGATGGCACTTTTCGGATGTATTATTTACGACATTTTTCTCGATCGATTAGTATTTCTTTCTAAAGCCGTTAGATTTTTACTACTACTACTTGTCTTAGTTTGAATGTCAATTTTTTTTTTGTATCTGTTATCTTTAGTTGTATGTATGTATGTATGTGTGCGTGTGTGATTGTTTGATTTTCTTTTTAACTGCTTTCAACGCTTACCGGGCTACGCCACTCCTTTTACAATATATGTACATACATAAATATGTATGTATTTAGTCAATAACCATGTTTGTAAGGCTAATTATGAATTATACGCAATAACAACAATTACAATTAGCATTATTTACTTTAACATTATACACACTGTATTTTATGCTTAACACTTACGTACGAAATAATTCACTTAAAGTTTTTTTCTAAAGATTTTTTTCTCTTTGGTTTTTTTTTTGTTTTTGATGTGCCTGTCAAAGAAATTCCACTCAATTTTGAACAACTTCGCTAGCATGCCATGCCTTAGCGCATGGCTTTCTTTGGCTCTCCAATATTGTAGTACTTTCCTTATTTTTGCCGTTTTCTGTTTTTTCTGCCATTGCATACTTTTTTATTCTACTGCAGCAATAAATTAAGTTAAAAAACTTGAAATTCAGAATTTTATATTTTTCTTGTTTTTGTTGCTATTTCATTTAGTTTTTTTTTTATTTTTTTTTTATACTCAACTTGGTCTTTACGCATTTTTTGCTAGCTTTTTTTGTTCTTATAATATAGTAAAGTATATCGATCCATATTAACGGTAAATTTCTTTTTCCTTTCACCTTATTTGCTCTCCTTTTATTTTCTTTCTTTTCTTTTGTTTAATTTGGCATTTGAATGGCTTAATTATGTGACGAGCATTTTTATTAATTGTAACTAATTTTCCTATTTTCAAACTCTATTTCTATTTTTTGCTACTGCATAGTTGGCTTTAAGCGATTTTCTTCTACAATATTTTGCGCCTCTTCGCTTATGATTTTATTTTTTATTTTTTACTTTTCTTTAGTGAGTGGTTTTTGAACGGTGGTTTCATTTATGTTTTAGATACACAATAAATATTTTGTTTTTCTCTTTTGTCCGCTTATTCACTTACTAGTAAAATAAATACTATGTATGTTGGTATGTATGTAGGTTTGCACTGCGTGTGAAAGATGTTGCTGGTTGTTTCTTATATTTTTCAAGTTTAAGTAGATTTGTTATAGTTTTCTTTTTGCATTTTTTATAAAATACTCGAACGTGCGAGCTTATTGAGAGAGAGAGAATTGTCTGTCCAACAACCAACAGTTTACTTGTTTTTAGCTCTTTTCTTGATTGGGAATCCGTTAATTAGTGAGTTTGTGAGAAAGTGTGTATTAGGGTGGACCTTAAAAATATCAACAACCGTATTTTGGTATGAGGCAGCTTTTAATTTGTCCCACGTTTAAAAAAAATAAATCTGCGAAAATTTCAAATTGGTAGCAGAGGTTGAAAAAGATTTAATTTTTTTTTTATTTAAAAAATTCTACTAAATTTTGATCAAAATTAGACCAATTTGAAATTAAATTTGGTCGAATTTTTGCGATTTTAAAGAGAAATTAAATCTTTTCAAACATTGGTAGGGACCCTTAAAAATTTGTTTAAAATTTTGAAATTCTCGTGGATGTATTTATTTTTTACGCAGAACAAAACTAAGAGGTGTCCCATGATGTTGCTATTTTAAGGACCACGCTAGTGTGTATGTGTGTGTGTGTGGTTGTTTGAGTGTATGTAAACAGCGAACCAATTTTTTTTAATTGTAGTGAATGCACTGCTCTGATATTAAATTTTGAACAAATGTAAGATAAAACTAATAAAAAATAATAATTAAAGAAAAATAGCTGCCCGAAATGTAAACAATCTTACCTCAGAGAATTCCTTTATTTGAGGAAATTCGTTTATTTGAAAATCATCTTATTTCTCATGCCTGTACACGCCTATTTACCTGTGTTAAAAAAAAAAAAAAAAATATTTTAATTTTTCCTCGCTTGGTAGTAATTGCAAAATTTTTGTGAAAATAATCGCCCTGTTTACCTATATTTAACTTTGAAACTGGAAATATTTTTATATTTTCTTAAGACGAATTCTGTTTTTGGTACCCTTTATAATGCAATTATGTAGTATCAAAAAAAAATATCTGTCACCATTTGAAATCTTGAAAATGTATTTAATTTGAACACTCAGCGACCATAAAATTATTCGCTTCGAACGACTCTTTGCCGCACCTTTTGCTTTCCTTTGTTTTTGTTACACACAAATGTTTTCAAAACTCTCATACATATTTCACTTAATAGTAATTATTTAGTGCTAAGTAAATTTTTTTTTGCTTGCATTGTTTAATAATTTTATTTTTAAATTTTCAAATTTTTTTCTTCCTTTGCCTCAAATGCTTTAACTAAATATTAGGAATACATTTGTATGTAGATAAGTATGGGTATAATTGTAGATTAGTTGTTAAAATATACACCAAATACACATTTATTTTTTTAACCTTTTTTAATTTTTTTTTTAGTTTTTTTAGCATTTTTATATCTCATTTTATTATTTTTTTATTAATTTCTTTTATTTTTTTTTTTAGCTCAAAACTGCTTAATACTAAGTAAATGTTGAGTAAATATTGTGATTAAATGCAACAGTAATTTGTTTTCTTTTTTTTTTAATATTCTTAGCTCTTTGCTTAGAAACAACAAACATTAAGCTTTTTTTCTACGTAATTTTTTTTTTCTCTGCAACTACATATTTATTCATGAATAATACATTTGCTTAGTTAGTGTATTTAAAGTGCACATACAATATTCAACAGACAATACATATACTTGTACATATATTTTCTATTTAGATTTAATTTATATTTTCTTTCCCAGTACTTTGCTTCCTTATTACTAGTTAATCGTGCTTCCACATGCCGCAGACGTCTCGTAGAATGATGGCTTATGATTTGATTGAATCCAGACTGCCGCCGCTAAACGGGGTTTTCAAGCGTCTGCTAAATGTCCAACATTGCTTTTCTTCATCCATCCGCGGTTTGGTTGCTTATTTGTCGGCAGTGTCTCGTTTTCGTTGCATACATTTTGGGGCTCGAGAGTTGTGTGTGCACGAAAGCCGAGACCGTGCGGTCGAAGGCCGCAAGAATAGCTGTCCTACTTATGTGGTAGGTAGGCACATAAAACATCATTCTACAAAAGGTATTGTCTTAACAAAAGTTTTTAAAAACATTTGTGTATTCTTCGTTATTCTGTCAGAGTAGTCGCGTCGACAAGTGACGAAACTTTTGGTCTTTTGAGACATTAAAAATGCTTTTGCCTCACTGAAGTAATTCGATTGCATTCCTAATGTTTTGGCAATCGGAAAGTGAGACGAATCCAGCACTATTATAGCCAGTGTTGCCAGGTTAACTTTTTTCAGACTTTCTTTAGCCTTTTTTGCCGCGCATGTTCATAAGAAAATTCGGACATGAACTTATTAAAAATAATTAGTAGACATTACGGATTATGACTACTTTTCTTTTTACTTTCAAAAACTGCATAGTTTACCATTCAAAAAAATAAAATGACAAAGCAAAGCACCATTTGTTTGAGAAAATGAGCTCTTAGATTTTGTTAAAAACAAGTACGAATAATCCTTTGTTGAACTGTGTTTTCGAGTAATTTCGTGTTTTCATTTTTTTTAGTTTGATCTGAGAATTTGCCATATTTAAAATGACAAAAGTTTTCTGTTTTTATTTTCGGAAACTGAACTCTGTGTTTTGATAAGAATGTTTGAAATGTTTATTTATAGAGAACCGATTTTTGCAGAAAAAGTCATCAATACGATAAGTACAGGATACAATTTTTCCTAACCTTTTTGCAAAATCAATTTAACTTCGGTCTTTGTGATAATCTGGTCACACTGATTATTGCTGCTTGTAACTAATAAAATTTATAGTGAATTCTTAAATACATACATTTGCAAGTCTTAGGCTTTCAATATTTAGTACCCATATTTTACTTTAGTTTGTATAAATAAAAAATGCAAAAATAGCTCAAATTTAATTTGATCGTCTTATCAAATATCTTACCATCGGGTAAGCCACATTCTCGTCTGAAATTTAAGATGATTTTCCTAACTGCAACTTACAGTGTTCGTCCAATATAACGAACATTCGGTTTAACTAGTTAATCATCAAAATTTTTTCATTGATGTTTCTCTATTACCAACGCTGTTGAATTTTAGTATACGGTAAATTGGTTTTTTGTTTTTAAGTTCGCACAACACAAATTTTAAACGGCGACTAAAGTTCTTGTTTCAGTTTTTGCTAATAAAATTAGTAAATTTTCGGTAACAAAATGTTCGGTAACGTTCAGCGGAGTACTTCAGGCCTAAACTATCGTCACATTTTTAAGTGAATTTTGTCAAAAAAAAAATACTGGGATTTTCGCTCAGAAACCATTTTGTTCACGGATTCAGAATCGATGATATAATCCAGAGATGATTCTAATGCCGAATGTTCGAGGCTAGTTAGTCTATGTCTTGGTTACTCGTAGAACGTAAAAAATTCTTAATTCGAGCTAATAGACTACATAAACGTTCGCCTTCAGCAACAGTCACTGGAATAAGTCAGAAGACTTGGAATGATGTGAAGTTATTAGGGGATAATGCGTTCGTCTTCAGTTTGGTAACTTGTTTAGGCGTTGGAGCGCTGGAAAATGCTGCTCCGTGAAAAGTCTTAAAGTATCGAATTTCTTCAATCAAGTCGATATTAGCGCCCACATCCTATACCTATACAGAAGTATGCTGTAGACGTCCTCTTGCTTGAACTGTGTCTCAGAATTTGAATCCACTACTTCTTTTGGTAACCCAATTTTTTTTTTCTCCGTCCTTCTTGAAATGTATCTAAGGAACCAACGATTTATCCTTCAATTAAACACTTTATATTGGCGCTTCCACATCAGTGGCTCATAAAAAATGTTACTCCGATAGATAATTTGGGGCCGAGTTTCGAACCAAATAGAGGCCAACAAAATACCTTCAAACGATTTCATATGTGTTTTAATATCGTCAACGTCTGATCTTGTTTGAGCGGCCAGATTCATTAGAATAATAGTTTTCGTAGTTTCAATCCTTTTTGGTCAGAATAGAAAGTTTTTTTCTCTTTCATTTCATAGGAGGCGCATCTTTTTTCTTCATTTCAAGGAACACAAAGTTTTCATATTGAAGAAATTTTATTATTTGTGTTATTCAAACCTGCCTGGTTTTAACGTTATCTGGTTAAAAATTAAAATTCTTTAGTGTATTTTGTTTTTGTAAACTGAGTTAAAAATGTAACCACATTACCAGATAATCTGATAAAGAGGGCGGTTTTAATACCCTAATTTTATTTCATGATTTATCATCTTTTCAGTTTTCAAAACTTGATTCCCTTTTTTTCTATTTTATTCATTGCGCGGGCGTCTTGAACACCCTGAGCCCTTCTCAACTGGCGTGGTTAAGCCAATGGCAGTTAAATTTGCGTTATTTATCTCCATAAAATAATTTGGTTAACATTAAGACACCAATAACTTTGATTTAATTGGCAGTGGTTAAAAAATAAAAATAATAAATTTAAATAATAAAATGTTCGATTTTCCAAGTAAAAAAATCAATCGGTTTAACGAGTTTTTTGATTTTAAAAATTATGCATACAACATAAAATTCGTTAGATTGGACCACCTTACTTTAAAGCGCTGCAATTAACGAGAAATATTTTCAAGCCTTGTAACAGCTGGTGATTATTTCATTCGCACTTCAATGGCAAAATCACCTTGACTTCAAGTTTTCTGTGGATTCTAAAAAATGCCCTCAAGCTATCAAAACTCATGTAACCACATTGCTGCAAGTCATGTTAATAAAAGCGAGGTAAATATTACAACAAAAGCTTTGATTTGTGTCAGAATTTGCTCTTTCCCTTTTTCAGGTCCTTTTAACCTCTTTTTAATAAAAAAAAAAATATCAGCAATAAACAATCCACTTGGAGAAGTTAGCGTACATCGACCTATTAAGGCAGCCGGTTCTTAATTGCCCTTTATCAGAAAATTTTTCAAGAAAGCGCTATTTAAGACCAAGGACCAAAAACGCCCTATCCCGGCCGTCGATATGTACTTATAGCGTTAAGCAATGCATTCCACTTTTTATTTATTTTCTGTTAGATTTGATACCCGTTTTTATGGCTGCTTGCTGCTTGGTTTGTGTTTTGTAAATGTGTGTGTTAGACGTCTATAAATATTATGGCATTAATTAGCGGCTATTTATTTCTCATTTATATATTGTTTTGCTTCTTTACAACGTGGTTTTTCAAGACCTTTCCAATTCCTAGTGTAATTACGTATGAATGCGTGTGCGTGTTTGATTTATCTGCCTGCAGGGAAAAATAAATTTGTGCAGAACGATCTGTGGCAATAGCTTTGCTTTGTGCGGGCAAAACAAAAACAAAAGCGCCCGCTCTTCTATAGCCTGTTTATATCAAATATCAAGAAGCAAGTACACATTTTGAATTTCAGTGATCGCGAACTAAGAAAATAAATCACCGAATTTTACATATATGAAATAAATTATCCTGAAAAAGTTTAAGATTCGCGAATATATAAATTTTATGCGCGAATAGAATGGTGTTGTCGCAATGTGCTTCCCTGCACGGCACTCCTACTGTCTTATATTTTTATCTATACGCAAATCTTGTAAATATGAGTGCTTAGTTGAGTGTGTGCGTGTCTGTATGTAAGTAGGTGTGTGCGTGTGTGTGTGTAAATTTGCGATGCAAACAAATGTTATTTCTTTTGATTTTTCTTTTTTCTCAGTATTTTGGTAACTATAGATTTGAAGAGGTTCTGCTTTATTCATAAATACCCGAGCGTAGCATAGGTCTTTACAAATGTGCCATCGCTGGTGGTTACGTTTCTGTTAAGGAAAAATATAACAAAGTCAGTTCAAATTTATCATTTTCATCCGAATTCTGATTACTTACTCATCCTCCCAGGGGCACACCGCATTGCGGTCAGCTTGGTTATTCCTGCCACCACTGGCCTCTGTCGTCGCACCACCTGCCGCCGATGTGCTGGCCCTCTCTTTCTCATCTACGGAGTGTGGCTTTCTGCCATCTACGATGCGTTTCTTACGCCGTTTCTTTACCTCCTCTGCGATAACTGGCACTATAGTTTCGACAATCGCTGGCATAACTGTTTCGGCTGTTGGTGTTTTTGGCAGCTCTTCCACTTCAACCATTGGCTCGATCTCCTCGCATGGCTCATCGTCATCCACCGTATCTATATCCATTTCGGCTAGTGGCGCCATAGACGGTGCCGGTGTCGGTGCGGGCGGTATATAGCCAGCTTGTGTGTCGGTGTCTATGATGTCGTAATCGTAATCCTCCTTGTCGTCGCCGTCGAACTGCAGACCTTCTTGGTACTCGTCGGTAGTGGGTGACAGCTCTTCTTGGGTCTCTTGTGCGGCTGCGATTTCCTCTTCCATGCGCAGTTGCTCTTCCTCCTCCATCGGACCGATAGGCGGTGGGGGTGGCGGTATCATTGAGACGGCCATTGGCATTGCATCCGCAAACATTTGTGTTATGTGTGCTTGGGCCGCAGGCTGCACTTCGAAGGTGTTGAAAAGTGGTGGAAGCGTTTGCTCCGCTACAGGCGTTACTTGCGTGGAATTTCCAAGGCTTGGTGTGGGTGTCTTTTGAGTTTCGCTATCGGAGGCCTCTGCTTCGGTCGGTGCTTCTGAAAAGATATAAAATTGCGTGTGCACATACTTTTTTTTCTTTTGTTTGGTTACAACTAACCTGCGCCTGCGTCAGTTGCAGCTAGCGGTTCCACCTCCTGATCAACTTGTATTGTTGGTTTTGGCAACTGCGGGCTCTTTTCTTCCTGAACGTCGAAACTTTCTATAAGCTCAATTTGCACCTCTTGCACCGGCACCGCTACATCGGATTCGGATATAATTAAGCTGCCATTGTCACTGTTGCCACTTCCACCGCTCTCTTCCGCGCCACACAACAAATCGCTGTGTGGGCTCTCACATGAGACTAGCTCAGCCGGCTGATAATAAGTGGGGACGCTGTCATCTGGCGGTGGTGGTGTCACCTTTGTCATGGGTGGAGGTGTGGGAGTCGGGGGTGGCAATGCTGACATTTCGGAGGCGGACGATTCGCTGTTGCGTTGCGATATCGCCAACTTGTTGAGTTCCTCTTCGATTTCCACATCCGATATGGAAGGTGGATCCTTCGAAATAGTGCCAGAGGAGCTGCTAATGGCGGTCGCCGTGGCAATGGTGGCAATGCTTTGTGTGAGCAGCGGTGGCGTTGGCGTTGGCAGCGTGGCGTCCACAACACTTTGACTGCCCACGGTGGGCGATGGGGTAGACGATGTCTTCGCAGATATGCACGTCTGTCCATATTGGTATTCTGCTATACGACTTTAAGGGGGGCAAGAACGAAAAGTCATTTAGAAAATACCTGCAGTTGCAAGTTAACAAAAAAAAAAAATAGCAGGAAACTTACGATGGCGTGAAGGACATCGAAGCTCTTCGTTGTTCGCTGAAGTTCGGCACGAGACGCTTACTCGCTTCGCCGCTATCGACGGTGTTCTGATGACGTATTCCCAAATTGCGTGGCAAGCGATCCGAAACCTCGCTGATATCCGAAGACGTGCTGTGATATAATTTTACATTTAGTAGTTTCGAACATCAATGCGGTGCCTATTTGCAGCTATTTACCTGGTGAGACGCTGTGTGACCGATTTGGCTACTTTGCCACTAGTAACGGCAGGTGCACTCTCCTGCTCCCACGGACACACGGACAACTTAACTTGGGATGGCTGAAGTAGTGTCGGTGCTTGTGTTGTGGGTGGCTCATCAGAAGTTTCCCAAGGGCACACTGCACTACTGGACGTTTCGACGGTAGTCTCTAGTCGGGCGGGCTTCGCCTTGGATGTCTCTCTACGGAGTGATGGGAATCGTATTAATAGGGAGCGCCCAGAATAAGTGAATAAGCACATTTAGCAAATTTTTCATGTCGTTTTAAATACAGATAAACATTTGTACATACATACATATTTACAATACAACAGTTAGAGTATCTCAGATAAGTGTTTAACTTAAAATCCAGCATAGCAACGAAAATGCAATAAATTTCATGGGCAAAAAAGTGAGATTTATTTTGAAAGAGTGTTAACGCGGAAAGTTAGCTTGATTTCACAGGACTGAGACTGAATTAGGAAGGATTACAATTAATTAGCACAGAGCCATAAACAATCAATTCAACACAGAGCATGAATAACGTTGAGTTATGAGCGCGAAGACATGATGAACAAATATACTTAAATACATACAGAAGATAACAAAATGAGCAAAAATAAATTGGAATTGGATATGTATGTAGTATGTAGTTAGTTCCCTTATCAGGAGAGTGGTTAACACAACACGCCAAGTTTGACAACAACGGTAGTTCGTTAGATTTGTAGAGCAACAGCAACAGCAGTTGGGAAGCAGTGGATAGATAGTAGTTAAGAGTTGTTCTGAAATGCTTGGTGGTTTAGAGAGAAAATAACATCTTACTGATGGCAGCGTAAATTGTTCGTTTGGCTGTCGGGATTTCCGAGTGGCGGAGCCTGCGTTGCTACATCCGTGACTTGCAGTTGCGGCATGTCCCCCCTGTAAATGGCTTCACTACTGCATATATTCCATATTCGCGAATTGTATTCGGTATGATTTCGTGATTAATCCAGTTTTGTTTTGTAATTTTTTTAATTAAATATTTTAGTAGGTGTAATGCGTTTGAATTGTGTTTCGAACAAAAAGTTGTGTATGGTAATATGCGAAAAAGAAAATCAGATTGAAAATTTAAATGTATGTAGAACTTTTATCAACGTAACGAAAAAGCGTTTTAAAAGAGGCTTTATTATTTTGCAGGGACCGCATATAACAGTTATTGATGAAAACTGTTATTAAAAAATTCACTATTTAGGAAATTTTCTATAACTAAGTGGCACATACCAACCGATTTCTTTTTTTCACCGATAATCAAATTTGAAAATAAATTTTTATTTGTAACTTTTATGCAAAATTAAAAAAAAAACATTACTTTTAATTTTTATTTTATAAATCCAAAATAACAATTATTTTTAATTTTTATCTAATTCACTTCCGAGTGAATTTCATTTCCTGCCAATTAGAATTAAAAGCGGATTAGATTGAAATTCACTCGGAATTTGGATTTATAAAATAAAAATCAGAAAAAAATGTTTTTTAAGGAGTAATTAAATAAAGGTCAAAAAACATTTGTTAACGAGCGATTCTTTTAATAAAATTTGTAACTGTTACGGTCCCTGTTATTTTGTCATAGATATGTTACTGCGTTTTTATTTAGCACTCAGTTTTACTTAAGTCATTTAGCTAAAAATTTAACTGGAAATTATACAAAATTATTTACGAAATATTGCAGAAAAAGCAACATCTAACAGAATAGCACACCTGACTATTTATTTGCTCAGGTCAACGACTAACTTCGACAGAGTCCACTAAGTGAGCGTACGCAGCCAACTTACCTGTAGGGAATTTCACTCAGATTGCTTTGCGAGTGCGAATGTGGCACTTTGGATGTGATGTCCTTATTTACGCCAATCACAGCCAGCTCGTGTGCGGACCCGCTGAGGCTGCGGTCGCTGCCACGCCGTCGTGCCAAATTTCCGGGCGGCGGCGCTTGCATCATTGAAGAGCACACACCACCGCCGCCAGCATTCTTTGTAGTTGTCACGCTTCCAAGATTCGGTTGGCTGGATAGCGCGGCAGTCATCTTCTTTTTGCCGGCGCCGACGCCACCGAAGTTAAAGAAGCGCTTCTTGTTTTGCAACGGCTGCACACCAGACTCCAGAAGACGCTTGTAGTGATCGGAGCGTATGAAGCGCGGATAGCAGTCCTTCTTTAGCAGCAGCATGTAGATGTGCTCGGACGCGGAGTCAAAAGTAAAACGTGAGGGATTTTTCAGTCCTTTCAGTACACTTTCCATCGTTTTGCCGTCAATGTTGATCTCGCATGGTGCGCCCGGCTTCAGAAACTCTCTGCGAAAGAAATTATGAAAATTTTAAAATCTCAAAAAAAAAATGGCTTCGTGTGTGTTGCTCGCTGAAGCTCACTCGTAAATTTCGTTGACCTTGCGCGCAACCTGCGAGTGCGCTGAACGCCGCAACCGGTTAACTGCAATCCAGAAGCGTATATTCTCGTGCGAGTACTCCTTTTCCAGAAAGCTGGTGAACTCCTGCAGGCCAGTGGGATCGGAAACCAGCTCCTCGATTGAAATCGCCCAACGTTTCACACGTTTCTCCGTGGGTGCATCGACGAAACTGTTGTTCAGCTGCCAAAAAGTGGTGTCCTCCGTAACCCATGGGTTCGACGGCAATACTGGCTGGAAAAAGAAGTCATACTCGGCGAACGTCTCCGAATAGGCGACCAGCGATTCGCAGGCCTGAGACATCTTCATGCGCGTGCGATTGAGTGACTTGCGGAGATAGTCCACCTCCCGCTGCACATCTTCGATAGTCTTCTTCTTGTTCGGCTTGGAGCCCAAACGATCACGTGACGGTATGGGGCATGGCTCCAGGGGAGTAAACTGGCCGGGCGGTGGACGGTGTACACGCCAATAGGCGCGTTCCTATCGATAAAATATTAGGGGTATTTGTGAAAAATTACATAAATTCTGCAATACTACACGCGCTTACTTGTGAATCACTGACGATCTTGTCACCCTTCTTTCGCTCCTTAGCCAACCGCGTCTGTTCCTCAGCCTGCATTGAAATGAAGTCCCATTTACCTTTGAGACTCTTGTGCAGCGATGCTAAGGCTTCAGCCTCGTACTCCTCCAATGCGTGGCGTTGTTTGTTGCGCAGTGAACGCTTGGTCAGGTAGATGGCATACTCTACATTGTCGGGCGCCTTGTGCTGCCAGGGCCAATAGTATGGTGTCTGAAAGCGATATAGTGAAGAGTCATCTTTGACTGCGAGTGATTTGGTGTCATGAACGGGAAAGAAATAGCCATGCAAGCAAAGTTGGTTGGCTATGTTTAATGCTTCAGACTCCTCACAAAGCAAACGGTCCATCAGCCACTCGACAAGATCATAGCCTGGAAAGAGAAAATTTAATTCCAACTCGATATGAGGCAGAAGGTGTGGAATGTGAGAAAGAGAAAATCCTACCCATAAAGGCAGATGGAATATTGTTGAGGAAACCCTTCTGCATGCGCACCGGCACGGCTTTTTTATTCTCTCCATAGTCCGTCTGCATGGCGCGTACGATCGTCTCCATCTGCAAAATGAACAAGATGATGAAATGAATAGAACAAAATATATATTGAGGTCCAAATTAAGAGATAGTCGAAGACTAAATAAGAAATAGGAATATTCGCGCTATTCTATTCGCGCTGTTCTATTTTCTATCCGGATTTTATTTTTCTATTTAAAAAATGCCGATTTATTTGCCAGCCCTGCCATTTATGCTCTTCGGTTTAGATTTTGAGAGTTAAGAAAAGTACTTTTTGGGCTGTCCTTGAACTCGCGACGTTATTTGGACAGCGAAAGTAAGAAGTCCTTTGAGTGCAAGAGGCATACCAAGCTCAGTATAACTAGTGGAACTTTGCAACGGAAACTAACAACATTTGGCTTGACTATCTTCAGGTTGAAATACCTGATCGTTATGCTTATCAAGAGACTCAATTGGAATTGGTATCTTCCTAAATAGTAAAGCAAGGCAGGTCACGCAGACCGACATATTAAAGACTTTTTTGGGAGGTGTGCTCTGAGCAAGACTGTTTCAACTGGGCTTTGGTATCGCGGCTAGAATGAACTCTGATTCAAAATTTCATACAATCGGCAAACGCAGTTCAACTGCGATATCTGATGGGATGGGCATTTTCCCAATAGCTTTGTAAGCCAGGTATCAAGTAAACAATGCCTGAATTTTAGAGAAGGTCTCAGTGAATACTAATCCGGTTGGAAAGTTGACTACAGTGGGGCAACGAACTGCTAAGAGAAACAATGCAGTTCATTGAGCTGAATTACCAAAACTGCATTGTGGTTGGGGAGTCAGGTTAAGTTAGTTCAAATCTTGACTAGTGGGGCTCGTTAGTATAAGGACTTCAAATGACTTTCAGGCTTTCATTTGGCAGGATCTTTGCACTTTTTACAAAATTACACTTAGATCACTGTTCTTTCTTTCAATTTCAGTTCCTGCCTATTATCGCTTATTATCTATCGACGTCATGTCACAGCGTAATGTCGCTCACTTACTTTTCAAGTAACTAACATACCACAAAACGGCTTCACTACCACTACTGCTGCCAACTGCAACATGAACGCGTCGAGCGCATCAAAAGCACAAAGCAAAGTCGCATATGGAAGACATACCAAAATTATGAGTGAGTACGTACCTATTTACACACATACATATGTATGTACATATGTATCCAAGTACTCGCATGTACATACATACATACCAACATAATTGACTAGCGGTATGCCAAGGAAGCATTGCTGCGCGCATAACTGCTCAAAATCAAATTAATTAAGTTTCAAGGATTTTTTTTATGTTGCAGCAAGCGCGCAGAAGAAGCAACGAGTTACGGCAAGCACCACACTCGCATAGTTGTGGGCTGTCGTTCAAGTAGTTACATAGCTTAGTTGGCATTGGTATTGGGGTACGAGTAACCAACTATTGGTTTGATCGGCTGTTGTTGGTGCTTCGACTTGAAGGCTCAACCTAAATTTTTAAATCAGCTGTCAACGTCAACATCAATGTCGCTGGTGAAATCCAATTTGTGAATATTCTTTCTTGCATTGTGAGTGAGGAGGACAAGGTCATCTCATCGCTGAGTGAACGAACGAGGAGCTCGAGTGTACTCACACACACACAAAAAAAAATAAAATTTTTTATTTTTAAACTAACAAACATACATACATGTAAATATGTTAGTATGCATTTATACGACATCGTTAAATTTTCAGTTTAGGCGGCAGCAGACGGGTGGAATGAGGAGAAGGGCAATTGTTCGTAAGCTAAAGGAAGCTGCTGGATTTTTAATTGATCGATAATGCAATAAGTTGGTAATTGAAATTTGAGCAATTATTAGCTGCATAAGCTGGTTATATGTTAGTGCAATGATTGTGCCGCTTCCAATGTACATAATTTATTTTTTGACAGTCATTGAGGTGTGGAAATACTTTGAGCAAATAAAGATGGCGGGAGAAGACCGATTTTATTATAAAATATAGATTTTGGTTGGTCTCTGTATCTACTTTAATATGATCAGTGGAAGAGTATGGTTTTAACTCAAGTAAAGATTAAAAAGTGGTTCCAAAGTACCCAGTTATAATGCGTACCAAATGTTTTTGGCAAAGCTGGAATACAAATGTAGAAATGGCGTTAGAGCTCGAAAATCATTAACTTTGACGATCTGATTACATAGGCATGTTGAGGATAAAACATCGGAATTGGTGGCGAGAATTCTCGGCTCAATAAGAGCTGATCGAAACCAACAGCAGCTTGCGATAAAGGTGCTCGTAAACGATGAGAGTTATTCTCATGAGAGTGGCGCCATGTTTGTGTGAGTATGGGCGTTTACACGCACATCAATTCTCACTGGTATTTTATTCGTTCTCAAGAGAACATTTCCGGTAATAAAATTCTCATTCATTCTCATGTCTGTTTACAGGAGGAGCTCACATGCGGTCATGTGTGAGCATAAAATATGTAATAATATATGAATTTACTTATGCATGAAAAAACAAGTAAGGACAGTGCCGTTTTCGGCTATACTTCATACCTTCCATGAGCATCAGAAAATTTTACTTCAACCGACTGGAAGTGGAATTAGGAAACTGTGTATGGCGTTGTAGATGAAAAAGGTATAAATAAATTGTGCTAGCGAACAAATTAAACATTGCGGTATTAATTGGTGCTTTATTAAAAAGACTTGGGGATTATATGCCGACATGAGCTCTCGTAGAGCCTCAAGCTGAAACCGCCTTCAAACAAAATATTTTTCTTTTTTCATTTCATTTCTGGACCCAGGTGGAGTTAATACTGCACGACAGCCAAGGGTTGTGTCAGTTAACTGGCTCACTCCCATCCATACCGTTGATATATCGCGAATTCTAAAATTGTAAGGATAACATTTATTAAAAAGGCGCCGCGCCGCGTTTTACCTCCAAGTCAGTTGTGGCTGATAAATTGGCCGGGCAGACTATCATTGAATTAATCTCTGCTGGCATGGACGATACTATATACGAGTTCGAGTTGGTAATAACTGATTCAGAGAGCGTTATCCGAAACCGCCGTGCTGCAAAGTTATAAAGACCTGCTGACCTGTAGCCGACCGCGGGTCGATCGAAGGAGCTTCTGCAGCCGGTTAAGCGACAACTCTCGCTTCTGGCAGAAGTCCCCACCGGGCACACAGAAACTCTTCTTCAATTTCTTTATTTTGCCTGCGAATTCGAAAACTATTAATTTTAGCCCTCAAATACTGTATTAGTTCAACAACTTGCACTTTCCAAGGCACAATTATTTATCTTTGCTTCAAAAGACAAAAAGAAAATAATTGATTTTCTCAATCAATTTTGAATTTTACACAAGGCACATACATATATATTTTTCAAGCCTGCAAAGCATATTTTTGAGTCCTGCAATTTTGGTTCCAGCAAATAGCCAGCATCACTTCAAGCAACATGCGCAACAGCAGCTTATTTCTGCTCTTAGTCTTTTGTATTTGTAAGTATTTGCTGATTGGGTAACAATTAAATGCCACGAAGTGTGTAGCACTGACTCTGCTTGCAGTTACGTTTCAGCAGGCCCAAGCATTGCGTCGCATCAAACGCGGCTCGATCGCAATGCAAAACAAAACCAAACTTTCCAATGATATTCTATCGGATCAGCGCTCTATAACGAATGACATCAAAATGGCCGCTCAGAATGAGCACACAGCAAATACGTCAGATATCCATGAGGACGTGAAGGGTCACTCAGGGCATGCGTGGGCCAAAAAAGCCGTGGCCGCTGTGGAGCACGCCATAGATAAAGGTTTGCGGTAGCGCATTTTATTATTCCTTCCTAAAACGTTTTATACCTTTCGTTCGTACGTAGCCTTCGCTTCGCTCAGCCACAAATCTGATGCGGAGAAAACCAAAAAGAGCACAAAGGTCAGCCACTCACCGCAGCAGCTTGCCGGAGCGGCACCAAAGTTGATGGAGGATGGCAGCGTTGCTAGCGAAGACCTGCACCAGCCATCGCTGACTTATCTGCTAAACAATGGTGGGTTCGGGGAGCGCTTTTTTGACGACATGCAGCATGGCGCCGCATTCGGTTCTGGCGAGGGGGGTGCTGCAGAGGTGCTGTTCATCGATAATGGACCGCAGCCGATGATGGGCATGCAGCACGGCCTCAACTCCTTCACATTCCATCAGCCGAATTCACGGAGCATTGCCAATAGTTTAAAACGTTGGTCCGAGATGAGTAACGTATCGAAACTAAATAGTCGCAATTCACTAAAAATCAATACCGACCATTCGAACAACATTGCAGAGAACAACAATGCGGTTGGAAAGCTAAGTAATGATAACGGCGTTAGTGAGGGAAATGCCAACAAAGATGCCGTGCTGAAGAACAATAAGCGTAATGAAAATCACAACAATAGCGTTGACAACAAAAGCGAGAATGCCAGCATGGGCGATGCTCGCAAGCGGAACAATGACCACGATGCCGTAAGCAGCGAGGATAATAGCAAAGCTAAATACAATGGCGATAGCAACAACAATAATAATAACGGTGACAAAAGTAATCACACCAACGGGCAGCAGCCGGAAATGAAGGAGTCATCGCTCTCTACTTTGTTATCGCAGTCGCACAAGCCAGCGGAAGTTATTGAAGAGCCGGAAAAAGTGTACGAAAAATCACAAGACTCGCAGCAAAGAATGAAACAAGACAGTGAGAAAGCGGCGAATATGGCGAATATGGCACGGGAGGCACTGCAAGTGTTCAAGCATTCGAATGGGAAAACACTGCCGATGGAAAGTTACCTGAAGTTCGCCAACATGATGCTCTACAAAGTCGGACCAGGTGAGTTAATTCGGTCGTAAAAATAGCTGACCTTTGAAAGTAGGTAGCTAAAACTTATAAAACCCAACCCATTGTAAATCCGTTTTACACATTAAATTCAAAGACTTTCCCTCCCCTCCCCCCAGACGGTGCTCCCATTCAAGCTCAAGGCGCTCAACTCTCTGTCAACGGCAAACCAACCAAGTCAGTCATAAGCATTG